TATATATATATGCAATAATTATAAAGTGATATATGCTAAAATATAATAAGTAAAAAGATTTTGTATCAAGTCACACGTGCTATCACTCACGTGATTGGCTTGTTAGGCACCTATGACTAGCATATGCATTGCAAGTCATTTCATAGGTCATCAAAGACCCTATAAGTTCTTCAATCGGAAAATGATTCAAATCTTTTGATACTTGTATTACCATTATTTTCAAATCCTAAATTTTAGAAAGTGATCGTAAAACTTTATTAACAAGTTCAAAATTTAAAAATTATTTGCTAAGTGCTTTTAAACCATTGATGACATCCGTAAAATGGGTGTACATGTCAACAATGGTTTCGCTTAGCTTCATTGGAAATAGTTCAAAATCATACATTAAAATATTGACTTTAGAATCTTTTACTCTACTCATGCATTCATGTGTGATTTCGAGAGTGTGCCATATATCGAAAGCTGTTTCGCAAGTAGAAACCCAATTAAACTCAGTTTTATCCAAAGCGCAAAATAGAGCATTCATAAAAAAGTTTTCTTCTCCAAATTATTTCATTCTTTCATTAGAGTAGAAAACATTTGAAAATTATTTTCAATAATATTCCGTAAATCAAGGTTCAAGGAAAACTAGAAAACTCTCATTCGAGTTTTCCAATATATGTAGTATGTCCTATTGAACATTGGAGGACGAATAAGAGAGTAGCCCTCTTGAAAGCTAAAAAGAGCCATTTCTCTTTGAGTGTTAAACCAAATGAGAAAAATGTAGCTCTGATACCAACTATTAGGAATGAGTCGGCACTGAGAGGGGGAAGGGGGGGGTGGGGGGGTGAATTAGTGCAGCGATAAAAACGTCGGTTCAATTAAATTTATTGTGATTAAAACCGTTTCAAAAGATGTTAACTTGAAAGTATACTGAAGCGTATAGTGGATGTAAAGCTAGTAAGACAGTTTGTAGTTTAAAGTAAATTGCTCAAAACAGAAATGTAAATCGAATTATAGTGGTTCGGTCGTCATGACCTACATTCACTCCACCAATTTCTCTTACATCGAGGCCACCGATATCCACTATCGACTTCCTTTAATGGGTGAAGATCAACCACCCTTACAACTTGATTCTCCTTTTGACAGGTTCAGAAGAGAACCTTTACAATCTCCTTTACTCCTCTCTTAAATGACATTAACACTTAGAACTTTGAGAGGAGTTCACACACAATTAAAATAAAGTTTTCTTTTCTTTTTGCTCTAAGTTGTGTGTAGTTTAATCAGGGATAAGAGGGGTATTTATAGGCCTCAAGTTGATTCAAACTTGGAACCTAAAAATGTCTCATCCCTCGTTTTTAGGGTCCTGGCAGTACCACTGCCTGTAGCACTAACACTGGGTGGTACCATTGCCTGACACCTTGCCATTGGACAGTACCATACTCAAACTGATGGTACCAACCCCTGATAGTCTCTCGAAGACTGTGTCTAGGCGGTACCACCGCTTGACATAGTCTCGGAGACTGTGCCACAACGATGCCACCTGTTGAGTCAATGTTTGGGCCTTCCACTTTGCCCAACATAGCCCAAACTTAGGCTCAAATAATCCCTAATTGAGTTAGCCTAATTACATTATAAACCGACTCAATTAGACTCTAAACTAACTCGATCTAGACATAATTGATTACAAGCGAATCTTTGTTGTCCGTCATGTCATTGGTTCATCCGGTGCTTCGTTTGATCCTTCGGTGCATCGTCCTCTCCTTTGGTGTATTGCCCAATCGGCATGTTGTCTTATCGCAACATCCAATCTTTTTGGCGCAATGTCCGATCTTCTTGGCCCAATACACGAATTCATGGCCCGAAGCCTTCTGTCGGTACATCGACCGTTCCTTCGGCCCGACGTCTAATCTTCTGACATGTTTGCTCCGGCCCAATATCTGATTCCTTTCGCTTTAATCAATTTGTCTTTTCTGATCGACGTTAGCCTTGTGTTACTCAAAACGCTCATTTGATCACAAACACATCGATTGATTTCATTAATAAAATATGAGATTCAGCAAAAAAAAAATGCCCAAAAGATTTCATAAGAGTGTTCCTACCTGATAAAATTCTATATATAAATTGTTAAAAAAATTAAATATAAAAAATATTATGAATTTCTATTGCAAGTAATGTTAGGTAAGTTAGTTTATATCCGCGACATCGGAAGATGGGTGAAAGAATTTTAAAAATTTTTAAATTTTTTAATAATGCAACATATAGTTTGTTTGGTGTTTATTAACCTACCACACATTTTTTTAGTTGTTTGTATTAATATTTTTAGTGCATCAGTAGATATCAATATGATAATTATTTAAATGTGACAATAATGGTTATAAAATCAAAATGGATAAATTATTTTCTTGAAATTCTATCGATTTATTTAGTTGTATGTGTTTTGATCCTCATACAAGATTAGATGACTTCGGTGATTATTTATCTATTTATTATTTAAGTTTAGGAATAAATGTTGATATTGATGATAAAATTAGAGATATTAAAAAAATAATCATTAACTTTTATAACCATTATAGTTTAAACTATAATAGTAAATTTTATACCTACGAAACTTCTATACTTAGGATCAAGTTAGCAAGGGTTGTAAAATCTTTAAGAGAAAATAATTATTATTATAAAGATAAAAAAAAATCAAGAGGATCATGTGGCTCAAATTCCGAGCTTAATATGTATCTAACAACTTCTTCTGAATTTAATGATAACACTATAGGTATAGAATTTTATATTCTAAAATGATGGGCACAATAAATAATAATATTTTTCATCTTGGTGAGGATCACTCGGTAAATACCAGTGACTCAAGCGTCGACGGTAACCATCGAATAAACCTTCAATATAGGAGGATGGATCATAAATAAAATTAGATTAAACATAATTCTTGAATTAGTTGAAGCTCAAGCACGCATTGACAATCGAACAAAGATGACGAAACAAAACCAAGAGATCGTCCACGAAAACAATGATCTCCTATTTAATATATTAATTAAAGGAACTATAGAAAAGAATGACATTAAAAGCGATTAAATATTTATAATTTTACTCAATTTTATATCAGATTTGTGAGTATATCAATACACATTTACATTTGTCATGGATATGGATGTACATTCATTTTTCAAAATTTAAAAATAAAATTATAAAATTTTAATATTATAAACTATTTTTTAATATTATAAAAAAGTATGGAAATGAAACTGACTGAACTGGAACCGGAACCATAGATTTCGATTTTGATTCTAAAATTGGGTCTTACTAGTTTCATTTCGATTCTAGGTTTTGCCAAACTGAAATCGATGGCATGACCAGAGCTATTGATAGGTATAAAATAATAACTTAAACTAAGAAAGATATTATCTCATCTCATCTAATCTATTCTTATTTAAACTAATTAAAACTATATCTAATAAACTTATCTAAAAATCTTTTCTTATTTTTTTAACAATAAAATTCTATTCCATCAAAACACCAATAATTCTATCTTATCTATAAGACAAAAATAAATAAAAAAAACTCTCTAAAAGATGTTTTAAACTTCAAAGGAACAAAAGCCTCTAGGTTTCTTTAGATAAGATTAACAAATAAGAGATTATCTTTAAGTCTGACTCTAGCTAAGCCTAAATTTCTGTATAAACTATTCTAACTCCTAATCAAAATTAAATTACATTTCTAACAATTTTTACATTCAAATAAAACATATCAAAGTAATTCATTGTTTAACTAGCGAGCTTGTAGATAGATAAGGGCAAAACAAATTTATTGAGCAGCCAAAAAAAAAGAAATCTCTTGAGTATGTTTCAATATTCATTACTACTTTTTAAATGTTTTTTTTTTTTTGGTTATAACGATAGCTAAAAACTCTGTCTACAAGCATTACTTCATTAAATAATTAATTAGAAAAACTTAAATTCAAGTAAAGTATTATAACTCTAATGATCAAATAGCAGATATACTTACTAAGATACTTGGAAATGATAAAATTGGATATTTAGACAAGTTATAGGTGTCATAAAATAACACATTAAGGGGAGAAATGCTAAGTTAATATGTTGTATTTAGTGTTAGTTTCATTCTTTAATATATCTGAAATGTCATGATAGAGTTAGAATATAAAGTAGTAACTGATTAGAGCACTCAATTAGTGGATTGTGTTAGAACTATAGCTAGGAGAGTCCTAATTTACAGGGACATTCATGTAAAACCTACATAAGCCGACCCCTATTAAAAAGGTGAAGAGGCCGGCTAGGATTTGGAAGTTATTTCTTAGAGAATAATTAGGAGTCGTAAAGGAATATGAGTCATATTAGGAGTTAGAGTTTAGAAACCCTATAAATAATCATGTATTCATCCTTTTTGATAAGCAATAGATGAATATTTTATGCAGTCTTTGAGCGGCAACTTAGAGGGAGGAACCCCTATAGAGTTCCATAGAGATCGATTCCTTAAAGAGATCAATCCCAAGTTTAGAATCTACGAGGTTTCTATTGTAGAGAAATAAAAGAGAAAATCGTTGTGATTGTGATGAGTTAATAATAATCGAATGAAACACACATCTTCTTCTTTTCTTTCGTATTGTCCTTTCCAATCCGATCAATCACGTGGGCCCAACGGAATCTCATTATCTCCATCAAGAACTACTTACTACTCAGGTGTTACTTCCACATGCATCTATTCACCCATTCATTCGTTCCGACAATGATGTCTTCTGTTCCAATCTGTAGTCACACTGCTTAGCTTTCCTGTAATGGAGTTATATGGCCACAAACCATTACTCAAACACACCACTATGCTGCAATTCTCATTTACAAGTACGATGAAATTACCACTTTTTATTCCATGCACTTCACACACAGGTAGATCGCCTACAGGAATCAAAGAAGAAGAAGGAAGAACCAATTCTTACAACCAGTTCAAACAAAGACACCACAATCGTACAGAAAACCCAAAACCAACAACGTCATCGTCCTTGACATCCCTTCATGTCTCCTCGTTGATCGAACATAAACATATACACCTACAAGAACCAGCAATCACAAGGATCCGTATCTTACATGCTGCAAACAGACGTACGCTTTCTATGATTCCATGAGCTTTAGAACGATTACCATGTTTAAGAGGGACAAATATAACCGGGAGGGATTGACTTGCCACAGCCGGTCACAAGCAATTGGATAGCCAGGGGAAACAGGAAGTCCATGCCCATAAACATGCCTTTGATGGTGGTGCACACACACAGTGCCGCTTCCAACCCCTCGAGGCCTTCCACTATCGGGCAGCAGGTGACGGCCGGGTCGCCGATGTGCACTGGCGAGCCGAGGATATACAGGCAGGTACCGAACTTGACGGCATCGACCGGGCATTGCTTCGCTGGTGCTGGTGGCGGTGGGCAGCCGGCGGTTCCGGTCCCAGGTGGCTTCCCGCCACCGATGACTGGTGGCACCGTGATAGGCGGTACTGTGATGGGTGGCTTGACGATGATGGGAGGCAACGTGATGGGCGGCTTGACGATGATGGGAGGCAACGTGATGGGCGGCTTGACGATGATGGGAGGCAACGTGATGGGCGGCTTGACGATGATGGGAGGCACGGTGATGGGCGGCCTGACGATGATGGGAGGCACGGTGATGGGCGGCTTGACGACGATGGGAGGCACGGTGATGGGCGGCCTGACGACGATGGGAGGCACGGTGATGGGTGGGTTGACGATGATGGGAGGCACGGTGATGGGTCCTTTCGGGGTCTTGGGAGTAGAAGGAGGACAGTAGCCACAGGCAAGAGAGAGAGGGGAGGAGGAAATGACGAGCATGAAGATGAGAAGGAGAGCTGAGAGGTTGGAGGAGTCCATGGCTACGAACGACACTGCTACTAGATAGGGTGTGGATGTCCTGTTATAAGGACTAGAGATGGGAGGGTGTAAGCTCTAAAAGACAGGTCACATGGATGTGCTATTTCCTAGGGCTATGACAGCATTGTATTGTTTTATTTACCAACCAGTTCAAGCCAACGCTGCTTGGAAGAGTTGCTTGCACCTAATAATTTAGCATATTAAGGACCGACCCCATTTGGTAACTAATTAGTGATGCATCCCAATATATTGCTATCGATAATTACAATTTTTCTAAAATATTAGAATGATGATTGTGTATGATAGATGCCCTCTCATCATCAATGGTTAAGGGTGGGTTAGAAGTATAATTTGACATATTTTAGGTGATAGTATATAAGAATTATTTACTCAAAGATTGAGGGTTCAAAATTTTATCTGCCGACTAATTTAGTTGATAAAGATTTGAGTCTTAAGTTCATCACTTATCTTACATAAAAAATAAAAATAATAATAATAATATTTGAAGTGTAACATCATTAAAAATTAAAATTGATTGAAGAAGAAGAAGAAAAAAAAAAATCTACTATTTGCATTCATTTTAGAATTAAAATTACAAGACTTGTTTTAAAGGGATTTTGTTATGGATCAAAGAAGTCAAACTGCATGGTAATATCACTAAAATTTTTTCTCTCTTAGTATGATTTAAGGAATAGGTGCTTAAAAATGATACAGCCTTTCATATTATCTATCTATAAATGAGTTGATCCATCCGAATGATTGAAGGTCTGCCTCAATGATCAAACCAAATCTGTGTGATGTATGTTGTGATACAAATCTACTACGATGCTATTGTACATTCTCTAGATTTTAACTACCATGGCCTAGGGATCTTGAGGATCGTGAAAGGACGACTTGTGCCAAAGAAGTGATTAAGCATCGCAGCCATATATGTCTTGACCTTGTAAGAATCTAAAATCTTTTTAGTTAAAACCTAATCCCTATAATAATAAATAATAATAATAATAATGTTTCCTGCTCGCTTTCAGCCAACATATATAGCCCGTGAAATCTGTTGAAAATGATCAAAAATATCAAATAAAGCACTAGTGCTACATTGGAATAAAGTTCTTAGATAAGCTACATTAATTTTGAATAAGGTCGTTAATGCTTATATTTCTCTTTAGCTGGAATTTCACTAGAGTTTAATCTTCCTAAGAACCATGCAATGACTTCATGGAATATAATTGAATTATATCATTTGGTTTGATTTTTTAGTTTATTCGTGACTGTTTGTTTGTGATCTCTTAAATGATGTTTGAGACGAAATGCTATCGCCAACATTGATATCAACCCTACTTCAAACTTGGCACTATTATCAGCTCGTTCGAGAATGGATCAAATTAGATTATTACTCTGACAAAAGAAAGACAATTATCTTGGTTCTTGTAGAGTACAATTTTAACTATCAATTCGTTGTTTCACCAAGCTTTTCTCTTTCATCCTACATTTTACTTGATGCAACTCTCATACTCATTAGAATATAAGGGTTAGCGGTATAATCACCTTGGTGTAGCCTCATCTCTATCAAATCATATTTCAAGCGAAAATTGATTGGCTTAGAATGTAGATAAGATCATGAAGGGGCAGATAGAGTTGGAAGCCAAACAATCCTCAAGATAGAAAAAGCATTCGAGCAATAAGAAAGTATTTTTTAGATAATTTTATGGGTGTTTAAACTCGAGTTTAGGGTCTAATTAACACTAAAATTCATATTATGATTTAGTTAATTTCAACTCAACTTGAGGGTTCTAGAGTTAGTTTTTATGAGATTAGATCCTCCCCTACACAACTCTTATGCATAAAGTATCATGTAGCCCTATTTAGCATATCTCAAGATTGTTCTCTAATATGTCTTCTCTATTAATTAGCCTCTCTATCTCCCTTCTCTCTTTTAATTATTTTGTCTTAGAATGTATCTTCTTCCTTAAGAGAAAGAGTAATAGAAAGATACTTGATAATGAATCTATTTAGCATACTTATTAAACATATAAGATGATGCAAATTAACCGCACCTATTCACAAATTAGTTTGTTATCAATTATCAATTACATAAAAGAACATTTTAGTTTAATATGAGACCGTTTAGGCCTCTAAATTCAACAAAAGAAAAAGTTCCATACATACATGTAATATGAAGTATGAAAATTGTTAAAATTGATGATAATAAATGTATTTTGACAGGAATGAGTCGGCACTAAGAGCGGAGGTGAATTAGTGCAGTAGTAAAAATACCGATTTTGAAAAATTCTCATACGATTAAAATCGATCTTGGAAAGATGCTTAACTTTCAAACGTTTATAAGAATGTTATGAGCAAATAAATTAAGTAAATCAGTTTATAATATGAGAATTAAAAGTAGAACAAAAATACAAACCGATTTATAGTGGTTCAATCATTGTGACTTATATCCACTCCACTGATTCTCTTTCCGTCGAGGCCACCAGTATCCATTAATGATTTTCTTTCAATGGGCAAAGATCAACTACCCTTTTACAACCCTATTCTCCTTTTCACAGGTATAGGAGATAAATTTTACACCTCATTCACTCCTCTCTAAAACTATACTAACACTAAGAGTTTTTAGTTGAGTTCTCACAAGATTACAACAGAGTTTTTCTATTTTTTTTCACTCAATTCTTGTGTATGTTAACCAAAGATGAGAGAAGTATTTATAGACCTCAAGTACATTCAAACTTAGAGCATAAAAGAGTCTCATCCCGGGTTTCCCGGGTCCTAACGGTACCACCACTTGTGCTGGACGGTACTATCGCCTGCAGCAATGACATTGGGTGGTACCACTATCCAATTTGATAGTACCACCACCTGGGAGACTGTGTTTGGGTGGTACCACCACCCAAACTAGCGGTACCACCGCCTAATAGTCTCGGAGACTGAGTTTGGGCGTTACCACTGCCTAGACCGATAATACCATCGCTTGACATAGTCTCAGAGCCAGTGCCACAACAGTGCCACCTGTTGGGTCACTGTTTAGGCCTTTTCACTTGGCCCAACACAGTCTAACCTTGGACCCAATTGACCCATAATTGAGTTGGCCCAATTCCAACCCAATTATGTGCTAACTACGAAATTTAAGGCATACACTGAGCTAAATAAGTTCGATTTCTTCCAGCGAACTTCCGATAATCTCTTGGCAATATTCCAGTGGACTCCTGGCAAGCTCTTAGACTTCACGATGATCTTCTTGGCGAGTTCCGATGAGCTTCTCTGGCAAGTTCTTAGACTTCTCGGTTAATTCCGATAGAACTTTCGACGAACGTTCGAACTTCCAACGAACTCTCGAACTCCCAACAAAATCTCGTTCTTGACTCCGGAACTTCATTTTACTTTATGCCTTGATCACTATCGTAGTTAATCTTGCACAAATAAAACCTACTTTGATCTAGACAATTATTACAAAGCTTGAATCATGTTGTCCGGCATGTCATTGGTTTATCGATGCTTCGTCCGATTCTTTGACGCATCGGTCTTTTCTTGTGACCTATTGACCAATCGGCTAGTTGACCTCCATAACTCTGATTTCTTTGGTGCAATTTTTGTTCTTCTTGGCCCAATGCCCGAACTCATGGCCCGAAACCTTCTGCTGATACGTCGACCGATCCTCCGGCTCGACGTCTAATCTTTTGACATGTTCCGCTTCAACCCAATATGATTCTTCTTGCTTTTAATTGTCTTTCCCTAATCGAAACACCCTATGTCACTCAAAACACATATAAGATAAACACTATCAATTGGTTTCATCGTCAAAATCCAAGATTCAACATATTTAACCATCAACTTGGAGATCAAATATTTAAGGGGAGGTGAATTGTTATGATACATCCCTTGCCACAGCTAAGCTAAACTAGACTATGATTTTATCGCACTTATTTCAGTCTTAAACCACCTTCATCAGATACTTCCGAGTGGTAGCTATCAATTTATTCCAGCAATACAAATTGATGTATAACAATGATTTAGTGGATATTCAATCAAATTTCAATGATTGATTTCTAATATCTATGTCTTACAAAAATAGATTTAAGTGATGCTACGATCATCCCGAATCAAAGAATAGTGATGCATATGGGTCAAGAATCCCTGGCTATTAATAGGTACCCTTCAATAATTCTCCTGATTCTTCTCTCTTCTATCTCTACTATCAACTTGATGTCACATATGTGATGACGTGAGCATTAGAAAGACCTCATCATGAATATATATGATAGTGGTCTTCTCTTGCAGGAGGAAGCTCGACTCAACCATCTCTCTTCATGATTTATGTTTTAGGATGATTTTTGATGTGCGTTAAGATATAGAATCAGTATTAGGACGATCGACTTTTGGACTAACAAATATACTATATGTTGTTTGATCCGGGCGCAATCCTAAACCTAAACCCAGTCTATATGTAATGTTAAGACCTAAACCAGTCTATGTGTAACTCTAAGATTAAACTTGTCCTTTCCAATCCTTATTCAATCTACTGGAATCTCTTCAATATCACATTAACGACTAAATTAACATAAGATCACCTTTTAGATATGTATACTATCTCTTATAGTGATATGATAATGCTCGAAGGCTTTTTTTTTTCCCCTATACAAAAGTGGCCTTGAATCGCGATACATGGAGAATTATTATAATACAATCCTAATTGGATTCAATTTATGATATGTATTATAGTTTTATTCAATCTCAATACCAATGGAAAGGTGACTAAATGCCCGAAATCACTCCTATCACACCCATATATCACATAAGCCTTCATCAAGATCTTATCCAATTCAACCTCAACTCGATCATGATTGAAAAAAGGTTTAATCTATCTACATGTGAAACTCTGAATCGGTTGGAATTTGAAGTAATACGATTCAACCTTATCCCTGTTTAATTGTATCTAAAAGAAACTTCATATTGACATAGAATTCTGGTGGATGAGATGAAGAAGGGGCAAAAGAATTTGGAGCCAAATATTCACAAAACATATTGAGTTAATAATACAT